TTCCTTTAAAAAACAATTAATACATTGCTTATTGTTGTCTTCTTAGTGGTTATTCGTAGTACAAGATGCTGACATGACATCCTGCACGAACACTATTAGAACAAATCTTTCTACTCATTGAATTAAGAGAAAGTAGCTGTATATCTGTCCTATTTTGAATATACAGATACAAGATGGTCTTTCATTTGTCTTCCCTTTTTTGGTTTAGTTTTGTCAGAGAAGGGTATTCCATTGTCATTTAAATATTGTAGATGTGTGAATTCCAGCTGCTTTTAATATTTTGTTCTTGTGCTGAATTTGTGGACTCTTGATTATTAGATGCCTTGTTGTAGGCTTATTTTCATCATGGCTATTTGGAGTTCTGTATGCCTCATTTAATTGTATGTCAAATTCTCTATCAATGTTTGGGAAGTTTTCTGTCATTATTTCTGTGAAGAGGTTTTCATTGGCTTTTTCACTGTCTCCATCTTTCTCCCTGATTCCAATCAATCTTATATTGTTTTTATTTGCTTCATCCTGTGGCTGTTGGATTGAGTTTTCATGGGCTCTGCTATCTTTAAGATGTATTTCTTTTTCTGGTCACTAGTTGCATTCCTGTCTTCTAGACCTGATATTCTGTCCTTGGCATTTTCAATCTGCTGCATATACTCTCAGTGGAGATTTTAATCTTTTAATCTGCATTTCTGTTTGGATCTGATTCATGATTCCATTTCTTACCTATACTTGGCATTCACTGTTTGTATTGTTTTCCTGAATTCTGTTTTAATTTTATTTTTGATAGTTGCTTCTTATGGAAGCTTAGAGATTATGTTTTTCCTATGGCCTCTTCCATTTCCACTGGCACCTCAGGGAGTTCCATTTGTTGGCTTCTGATTTCCTCTTTCTCTTTGTGCTCTGTACAACTTATGTGTATATTGCACAACGATCCAATCAGAGTGAATAGCATGCTCATCATTTTAAATATTTCATTTTTAGTGGTAAGAATATTTAAAATCCTCTCCTCTAGCTCTTTGGAAGTGTACACTGACTATGGCCACCCTACTGGGCAGTATAATAGGACACTGCAGTTGCTCTTCCTATCTAACTGTAACTGTAGCTGTCCATCAGTTTTTCTTCCTTCCCTCCCCCTTTTTCCCCCCATTTCTTGACATATTAAAAAAATGTGTACCAAGATTGGCAGATGAAGACATTTATTTGAAGATAAATTTTTAAAAATATTGCTAGGAGAAATGTATAGTTGCCTCTTGGCTTCTATAAAAAGACATAGATGGATAAATAAAATCCAGAAGGCTTGTTTAAAGTGACCTTTCCATAGAATGGTGCCTAATGCAGAAGGCACATTAAATGTAATAAAATAAACATAATCAGGAGTAAAGTCACATTAGTAATGATTCATAAGACACTATGTCATTGCTATATTTTTCATAGAGGTAATCAAATCTTTCTCTAAGATTCACTGCTATCTTAATTGATGGCTACAGATCACTTACTAGGATTTACATGAAAATTTTGGGGTAGGATAGATGGCAAGCAGATAGGAATAAAACTTAGAAAGCAGAGAGCTATTCTAGCTTGCTTACAGTTCTTCCTAGAACCTGAAATGGGAGTTATAAAAGAAAGTGTAGATAGCATCTATATTTCAATAGCCTCCAATCATGCAGAGAAAATTCCCCTGATAAACCATGGTAGCCCTTTGTTAGTATTCTGAAGACATGAGTAATGTTTACAATATTATCAATTAAAATATTCATTCCTGAAATATTTTTTATTTTGTGGAACCGGGGATTAAATTCAGGCCCTTGTGCTTGCCACAGAAGTACTGATTCTACTGAGTCATCTCCCTGGCCCCAATATTTCTCTTTTTTAACAGCAGAATATATTTACTGAGGGAAAGAAAACTCCCATCTGTGAGAGGGACAGAAAGATACCCAAGCAGGTTGCCCCTGAAGTATTTTTCTTAAGCTTTAAACTAGGTATTGCTTACAATCTTACATAAGGAAGTTCTGTCCGATCAGCTCAGAATTATGTGTTTCCTTTTATTTTCGAGGGAAAGAAAATCCAGGGGTAATCATTCCCTGAATGAGCACACCCCAGTATTTTTTTCTTTCCATTGACTGGATCTTGGACTATGACCCTCAACCTCAGCTTCCTTAAGCATTTGAATTACAAATATGTGCCACTATGCTTGCCTAGGTCTTACATTCGATTTTTTAATATTTATTTCATGATAGTCAAGATTTAAAGCTGCTTTT